TGGAGACTGGTCGGCTTACTGCCATTGCGGGTTTTGCTCCTGCAGAGTATGAACTGGAGGTGCCGTAGTTACCGCCACCACCTCCAGCACGTGCAGGACATGGACAGTACGCAGCATCTGATCCTGGCGATCCACTGCCACCAGGCATTCCAGGAGCTCCCGGTGCTCCTGGTGCTCCGTCGTTGCCAGGAGCACCAGGGGGTCCTGCAGGTCCGGGGCCTCCTGTACCAGAGTGACCACCGTCTTGCCCTGGCATACCAGGTGGCTCCTGCTGGTCCGGGTGCTCCCGCTGGTCCTGGAAGTCCGAAGGATCTCGTTCCTGAAATGAATAAGAATAGGGATGTAAACTGTTCAATTAGTAGCGCCTCTCATCTAGTTACCTGGTGCTCCTGGGGCTCCATCTTGTCCGGGGCTACCAGGTCGTCCATCTTGTCCAGGTGCGCCTGGAGGACCAGGTGGTCCGGCCATACCTAAATAGCTTGTAATAAACTCATAAAATACTTCATTAGTATGTTTTCAGATATAGAAGCAGCTTTACCTCCTCCCATCCCTTGTCCGTCTGCTCCTGGATTTCCTGGGGCTCCGGCTGGACCAGGAGCTCCATCTGGACCGGGTGCACCTGGAGGTCCGGCTGGGCACGAAATGCAACCTCCACTGTGATGTCCTTCACTGCCACACCGGCTCCTCCTGCTCTTCCAGGAAGACCTGGCTGGCCATCCTCTCCCGGCATTCCAGGTAGACCGGGAGGACCTGTAACTTTTTTTATAAAGAGACTGTGAACAAGAGCTCGGTTCAGTTCTAACCTGGTGGTCCTCGTGGACATCCTGATGCTTGAGCTGCACACATGCAACCACCACCGCCACTACGACCGTAAGAGCCACCAACGCCAGCTGCATACGATGGTCTACTGCCTCCACTTCCACCTCTGTACGATCCTCTTCCACCACTATAGCCTTCGCTGTAGCTGCCACCTCTTCGGATCCTAGCCGAGTTGAAGACCGGAATGCCTTCATTCTGTTGAGCTACCATCATTGTCTTCCATGCATCGTTGGCTATGTGCTGCAATGGAATCTCTTTACGAGCAAGGATTCAACCAGTAGAGCTAACCTTGAATTGATCCAGGTCTTTTTCGATGTCCCTCTGGAAATCGTTGATGTCACTAATGATGTCGAAGATGATGACGAATGTCACACCAATAGCGATAGCGGTGCTGATAAATGCACCAGTCACAGTGTAGTGAAGCATAGTTCCCATCTGAAATCACAAAAAATTCTGTTAAGCGGTTGATTCGTACATTTTAGCCTTTTGGGAATTTTCAGCTGTTGGGCAGTGTTAGCAGTCAATCAAAAGTGACAGGAAGGATTTCTGACTTGCAAAGGGTGAATTGTAAGGGTTGCGTTGAGCGTTGCAATTTTCGTATTCAGAAAGCGAAACTACGTTATGATTCCTTCTTGAAAATCAGAACAAAAACGGCTGAAGCAGAACTTTTTTTGCTAGGAAGTTCCCTTGCAAGATGAGAAAACTACTTCTTTGGTAAATTTGTTAGGTGAACTTACCGCTGGTTGCTGGAAATCCCGGTGATACTTCTCGGGCAACTGTCAGCTCTTATATAGAGAGTGCACATAAGTGATCTGGTTTCCCTACTAATGGCACTGTATGGAATTTGTTTGTGCTGCTCGTGCTGTTGTCTGTGCGTACAGGTGAGATGCCTTGGAACCGCGAATCCAGTCTATCTGTGACACGAACTTTCGCTGTTCGCTGTTAACGTGCGCCACTTTGTCGAGGCATTTGTTTTCGTGACAATAGCGTGCGCGTTACGGGGCGTGAGAGCTAGGATTCATTGGTGTTCCGCTAACTATAGAGATCAGAAGAACCTGTTTGTCCCTTGGTGACCTACCCATCCAGTAAATCGTGCTAGTCATAGTTCATCCATACATATTTTCTAGTGTTTCTTTGAAAGCCATGACATCAATCACCCGCAATGTGCAGTGACTACATAAGAGGTGGTAGTTCCCTAGAAATCACCGTGTTCTCCAGCAGCCAACGGTAAGTTCATCTGACACTTAAACAACAATAAAGTGTTTTCTCTTCTTGCAGAGTAGCCTTTCACCATAAAATTGGCTTTAGCAGATTTGTTTCGACATCCAAGAAGTAAGAATAAACCAGTGCCATTCTCTGCTACGCTTCCCATTCCCGTTCTTCTACATTAATTTCAATTTTGGGATATTGCATACCTCTTATCTGAATTACATCATCAGATTTTGAACCTTTCACACTTCAGCCGAGAAGTTTGAAATTCCTTTCGAAACAGTAGCTGTGAACACTGCCCAGTAATGAAAATCTCCCTCGAAAACTTAAGTGTGTGGATGAATCTGCACGGGCTCGACTATCTATTAAAATTTCAGATGGGCACTATGCTTCACTACACTGTGACTGGTGCGTTCATCAGCACCGCCTATCGCTATTGGTGTGACATTCGTCATCATCTTCGACATCATTAGTGACATCAACGACTTCCAAAGGGACATCGAAAAGGATCTGGATCAATTCAAGGTTAGCTCATAGGGCTTATATAACCCTAGTGATTAGTTGGGTCCTCTTTTCTGGAAAGGTTCATGGTTCATATTATCCTTACAGCACATAGCCAACGACGCATGGAAGACAATGGTGGGAGCTCAGCAGAATGGTGGCGCTCCGGTCTTCAGCTCGGCTAGGATCCGAAGAGGTGGCAGCTACAGCGAAGGCCCTGCATCATACGCAGGTGGTGGTGGTGGAGGTTCTTATGGTGGTGGCGGTTCTTATTCTCATGGTGGTGGCGGTGGTGGTTGCATGTGCGCAGCTCAAGCATCAGGATGTCCACGAGGACCACCAGGTTAGAACTGAACCGAGCTCTTGTTGACATTCCCCTTATAAAAAAAGTTACAGGTCCTCCCGGTCTACCTGGAATGCCGGGAGAGGATGGCCAGCCAGGTCTTCCTGGAAGAGCAGGAGGAGCCGGTGTGGCAGTGGAAGGACATCACAGTGGAGGTTGCATTTCGTGCCCAGCCGGACCTCCAGGTGCACCCGGTCCAGATGGAGCTCCTGGTCCAGCCGGAGCCCCAGGAAATCCAGGAGCAGACGGACAAGGGATGGGAGGAGGTAAAGCTGCTTCAGTACCAAACACTGCTACTACTGAAGTGTTGAGATTAATATAAACTGTTTAGGTATGGCCGGACCACCTGGTCCTCCAGGCGCACCTGGACAAGATGGACGACCTGGTAGCCCCGGACAAGATGGAGCCCCAGGAGCACCAGGTAACTAGATGAGAGGCGCTACTAATCGAACAGTTTACATCCCTATTCTTATTCATTTCAGGAACGAGATCCTTCGGACTTCCAGGACCAGCGGGAGCACCCGGGCCAGCAGGTCCACCTGGTATGCCAGGGCAAGACGGTGGTCACTCTGGTACAGGAGGCCCCGGACCTGCAGGACCCCCTGGTGCTCCTGGCAACGACGGAGCACCAGGAGCACCGGGAGCTCCTGGAATGCCTGGTGGCAGTGGATCGCCAGGATCAGATGCTGCTTACTGCCCTTGCCCTGCACGTATTGGAGGTGGAGCACCTGTAGGAGGTGGTGGCGGCAATTACGGCGCCTCCGGTGGAAGATCGTATTCAGCTGGAGGAAGAGCGAATGGAGGTAACTACAACGGAGGAGTTCGAGGTGGCGGTGCTCACGAAGGCTCTTTTGATGAAGTTCGTTTCAAGAGACGCCGTGTCGTTTACACCGCGGCATAGATGCTTACTTCGTAAGATTTTTGAATAAAGTTTCTGAATTCCACTATCTTTTGATTTCTCATCGATAAATAAGAGAGAAGTTGGAGAATATGCAGACTCAGTGTAACCATAAGGTCCTGCTCTACAAACGAAACAAAATAGATCCACTGCTAAACGTTGAGATAAATTCTCAACATTGCATAGTTGGTTTGGCAGTCGTGCAAGTTTCCCGGGGTCAGGTCACCATCAGTCTACAAATATATTATCTCACTGTGAGGACAAAACGTTTCTCTGATGCCCCTAGTAACGTTCTACTCGTCTAGCTTTGCAAATCACTGCAATTCAGCGCACGCTATTGGGCTAACATTCAGAATGTCGAACTATTAAATGTTGGAACATTCATATAGACATTGGCCAAGGTTTCACGCACAGTGGAAGAATGGGACTAACAAAGCGATATAAATATCCCTCATGAACTGTTCATATTGAAGATAGATGCTAAAGATCTCGCTGAAGGAGTATGGACTGGATGTCCTTAGCGGGAGACTTGTTACGCTCGCTCCTCATTAGGTTTCTCTTGCTTTGTCAGCGATTGCACTGAAGTAGAGCTGCGGGGAAAATCATCAAACACACTCCAACTTCGTGGAAAATCTAGGTTAACGTCCTCAACGGCTATCACCGTATCCATTTCCGTGGCTTCACTCTTAACAAACTCTTTTCGCATTTTTCCACATTCACATGTGCTATATCTCCCCTCCCGCTCGACGACAGCTCGATCGTATCAGTGGAGGAAAGTGGGAGGAGGGGTCAGGGGTCGTATCAAGTCATTTTGCAGGAGGGATGGTGCTGACTCGAGCAAATTCCCGACCCATGATGTGCCCTGAATCTCTAGCTTTACCACAATACGACTATGCGGCAGCTATGTGCTAAAACACAGTTCCAGTTCAGATATA